AATAAGCGTTGCCGGTAAGATGGAGCCGGGACAGGCCATAAAGGCTTTCATATTTCAAACTCCAATTCGGTGGCTTTGGATTGTGGTGTGCGGCCAATCAAAGGTCCTAATCCTACTGCTAAAATGACAAATCACAATAAATACAAACTCCATCGGCAATGAGGCAAAGATACAGTAGTTTATTTAGGTTCACACTATCAAAATATCTTCCAAAACACTGTTTGGTTTCTTTATTTTTTTTAAAAAAAATTTTGGACTTGTCTGATGTTTTAATTCCTACTGGGCTTTAAGCCTACCCTTTCTAAGCTAACCACCTGGGCTTAACACGAGAACTTAGCCATTGTTTGGTTTTGGTTAAAATTTAAAATAAAAGGTTTTAATTAATTTTTTTATATTTTGAAAATATAAAAATAGTTTTTAAAAAATAAAAAATATTATTTGAAATATATTTATAAGGAAAAAAAAACATTTTAAAAAAAGCAATATTACATTTTCGAACAGCCTATTAACCTATTACCTTGATTATAGTTCAAACAACAATGATAATAAACCGTGCAATTTATTACAATTAGATTGTGTTTGATTCGAAGTTAAGAATTGGAAGTGTTAAGGGATGAAAGGATTTGAGAGTATAAGAAACGGGTTTGCCCGTATTTGCCCTTTTTGCTCTTTGAATTATTTTGATCAAAGCTTCGTGGATTGAGCCCACAGACTTTTCTTTCTTTCTTTTTTCCTTTATTATAAATTCGTTAGTTTGAATATCTACGTGACATGTTACTATCAAAACCTAATACGAGGCATGTATCTGTTACCAATTAAATCTATTTAGGATTGAAATTACGACAAGACAACAAATAAGACCTTGTATTGCAATAAAATGATGTAATAATTACTTGACTTTCTAGCTATTTTTTTAGATTAACGTGGGTGTCCGGGCCAGTTTGCGCGCACCACGACTAACCTCCAGTGGCCATCATATGAGCAACCAAGGACTCAAATCTAAGACCATAGAGGGAGCAAACCCCTTAATTCCAAGTTTTTATCACTTGGTCACAACCTAGATGGTTGACTTTCTAGCTATTTGGATGGTGTAGAAGAGGTTGTCGGCTATTAACACTGCTTTTCAAGGCTATATTTCAAAGCTCTCGTGTAGCGGTGTGTGTTAATTTTTTATTTTTTTGATGGTTTTAAATAATTTTAATATATTAATATTAAAAATATTTTTTTAAAAATAAAAAATATTATTTTAATATTACTCTAGATAAAAAAACTTTGAAAAATAATCCTTATTATACTTTTAAACACACACTAAACATGCATTGAGTTGGATATTTTTTCTTTCTTCCTCTTTTTTTTTTTATTTTTTATTTGTGTTTTTAATAAATCAAATCAGCTTTTATAATTTATTTTTTATTTATATGTTATTTTTGTTCTTTTAATTATTATTTTTTAATAAATTATGAAATGAAAAAATCTTTTGTAATCTCTCCCCCATTTAATTTTTAGTTTGATACCTGTTATTTTGATTACTAGTTTTTAATAAGTTATAAACTAACAATTATTCTTTAATTTCATCTCTTTTTTTATTTTTTAAATTTGAATCTTATTTTTTTATTACTATTTATTTTATTTGAAATTATTTTTTAAGTTGTATTTCTTTTTACAATTTCATCCTCTATGGTTTTGTTTTCAAGATTTGATACCTATTTTTTTATTATTATTTTTTATTCTTCATCAAGTTTTTAAATTTATTATTTCTCACGATTTTATCCTTTAGAATTAAATTAGTTAGGAATTAAGTTTTTTATTTGAACTCAATTCAAGGATTTTGAGTTTTAGATATTAGACTATGTGTAAGAGGTTTCTTCGAGTTGGTTTAGTTTTTTTTCTCATTTTTAAAAGCTAATGTTTTTTCTTATTTTATTTTTTATCCTTTTTTTTTAGATTTGCTTTATTATTTTTTATGATTTTCCTTCTATAGGATTATTTTTAAGTTCATGATTAGAGTCACTAGTTTCAAAGGTTAATGTGAGTTGAGTTTTATTTTTTTATCCCTTTTTAAAATTAATTTATTTTAATTTTATCCTTAATATTTAATTTATTTGTAATTGATCTTCCTGCCTTTTTTTATTTTCTTTTTATTGGATTATCCTAATTCTATTCCCATCATTATGGGATTTACGGATTAACTCAGGTTAACTATTTTTTTTTACTTGCAATGAAATTAATCCTGACTTTAAGATCGAAGTCATCGATTTTAAATGTTAACTTGGATTGATTTTTTTGGACTTTTTTAAAAATTAAATTATTTTAATTTCATCATTTAACATTTGATATATTTAAAATTGTTCTTTTTAATTCTTTTTTCATTTTCTTTCTATTAGGTTATTTCAATCATTTTTTATACAATTTTATCCTTTATAGGTTTTTTTCCTATTAAATGTGTTCCTCATTCTTTTTATTTCTATCCTTTTTCCTTTAACAAGTTTTTTTAATTGATATTTTTTACATCATAATTTATCATTCAAAATTAAATTAGTTGGGAATTAAGTTTCTTGATTGAACTCGATTCAAGGATTTCATGATTTTCATAATCATAAGATTTATGGGTTAACCGGTGTTAACACATATTTTTTTTCATTGTTTTTTTAAATTATTTTTATTTTTATTTTTTCTTTAACATTAAGTTGTTGGATAATTAAATTTTCTTTCGAATTCGTTCACTTGTTATCATAACTAAGTCAAAGATTATGTATTTTTTACCTAGATAAGCTTGGATCTATTTTTTTTTACCTTTTAAAGTTGTTCTTGATGATATATATGTTGTAGCCCTTAATTGAATCTAAGGAAAAACAGTTGTGAACCTATTATTTGTTAATAATGAAAATTTCTTGACCTAGGTAAGCTTTTTCTCGCATCAGGTTTTTCATGTAAAAATATTGGTGTTGATTTATGTGATTGTTGCTTTATATTTGTTGATTGTTTGATTTTGATTGCACAAAAAGCAAAAAGAATTGAAACTTATAAATTATGAATTGATCCTGCTAGATTGGTATCTGGTTATTTGTTCCTTGTTTTCCTAATATATTCGATCAAGAAATATACATGTAGACGATATTGCAAACTCTAATAATGAGGTTGGAGTAGGCATAGGTATACAACTGTAGATGAGTCTTTCACATATGCCCATGGGAAATCCACTCTCAAAACCAGTTGGCATTTTTTCCTCCAAGTTATGGAGCAATTCATCTAGTCTAGCAATAGTAAAGCTGTTTTTATTGGGATATTTTTATTAATGGACAACAACATTGTAGTCTATCCTAAGAAGTAGGGTTACTATTGTCAAAAAGCTACAATGATAATTGCACCAATCATTGACAAAAATGGTGTAACTCATGTGTTGCCACAAGTTGTGCCATAATTTATGGTCTCTTGTCTTGCCATTGATGCCCATAAGTAGAGACATAATCTAGAGAGTAAAATGAGAGAGAGTGTTGAGAGTGAAGAGAAGTGAAGAAGAGAGAAAGAGGGAGTTGTAATAGACAACAACCTTCTTGCAATGTGCAACAAAGTATGTGAGTTGGAAGTTGAGTTAAAATGGATACGATTCTTCTCCTTCATATATTTGTTTTGTATATTTTTTTTATCTCTAATAATATCAACTCTTCCGTGGATGTAGATGATTTGTCAAATCACGTTAAATATTGTATCACTGTGCTTAATTTTCTATGAGCAATTATCAATACATCACCGATTCAAAATCCCTAACAGTTTCTGTATTCAAGAAATTACACAATGTCTTTTATATATATATATATATATATGTGTGTATACTTTTAAAAATTGAGAATAATATAAAAGGAGAAATAATTATTACCAAAGTGTTGCCCTATGATAGCAGTGTCGAGGATGGACAAGCCATTTGTTCACCTGTGATCAATATTTTATTTTTTAGAGATTGAGCTCCCATCTTTTTCTTTTTTATTTTTTTTTGAGTTATCATGTTCTCATTTGATTTATTAGAAATTGGTATGTAATTTTTTTCTGTTTTTTATGAGATTATCCTAATTTTATTTTCATGATTACAAAGTTTGTAATTTAACCCAATTTAACTGATTTTTTTTTCTTTGTGTTTTATTGTATTTTATCTTTTATTATTAAATTGTTATATAATTTGGGTTAATTTGAATTATTTTTGTTGTTATTTTTTTATCTAACTTGCACAGAGATTGGTTTGGATGACTCGTGTCACATTAGACTAGTGTTTCCTTATTTCTCAAAGAGATAAAAATAAAACTATACAACTAATCAAAATTTGAAATAAAATAGAACGTTTAAAATATAAAAACAAAACGAAAGATCCAAGGGTCCATCAAACGTAGTTTCTCCACAACGCAGTGTAATTACTTGAGAATTATGTTAATGAAAAAATTATTTAAAATAGTTTAATTTATCCTTATAATGTAGTAGCTATTTCCACTATGTATCTATACATTCATTTTTTTTATTATATCATTAAATTAAATTAAATTAGATCTTCGATAAGCTAATTTCTTATAACGTGGTATGTAAATTAATTGAAATTATGCTCGTAAATGCAACATGACTCATATATCAAAAACTTCCCCTCAGACACCTCTAAAGCACATCATTAGGATTAATGAACTGGTGGTTTGTGTTAAATACATTTGATCCTCATGTACTATACTCGTCTTACAATTTTAAGGTACTAGGAGGTATTCTTGTGCACAAAACTATATGTTTACTTATTTATTTTGTTATATAAATATATATTTATATTTATATTTATTTATTTATGTATAAAGAGAGAGAATGCACTAGTATCACTTGAACTATAACTCATTAGCCAACTATATTCAGGCTGAGATATAACCATAAAACAACTGTATTAATTTTCAATAATAAAGATGACTGATTATTGTGTAACTCTCTTTCGGTTAAAAATGTAATCGTCGAGAGTCGAGACAGCATGTGCAAAAATGAAAATCAGCCCATTGGAAACGTGGGTGTTGCCTAGAAACGTGGGCCAACGTGGTCCAGTAGGCTCTAAGTCTAGGCCTGTAAACACAGCCATAGGAGCCGAGAAGACAACTCCTAGAAGTCAAAGCACTGAAATGCAGTTAATTAAGGCAAGAACAAATAAATAAATAGAAGAAAGGAAGGAAGATAAAGAGATGCCGTGGACCCAAAATAGGTGTTGTGCCATTTAGGAGAGGGAATTCATGGCGTCCAAGGGCATCGAAGGGTTGAAAATAATAGTTGTGATATAATCTTTATTTGGGTCAATGATCACTTCTTTTTCAAAGCACAATATTTTATATATTTAGCCTTTGTTAATTCTTTGGGAAGGAAAGAATTTGATCCGTAATCTCTTTACATTTATAAAGTCAGAAGTATATTGATAAAATAGCCTATCATCACTCACTACTTGGTATTTTTTTCAGAACAGGGAGGGTAACGAAAGTCAATGTTCTTTTAGATTTACGCTCTGTGCGAACTACAGACTTTTCCTTCCATCTTTTCACAACAAAGGACATGTCCACCTGCTGTGGACACCGAGAAAAAAAGATGTAAGGAGGTTGATTTTTCTCGTGGCTAAGGTAGGCAGATCCTTTCGATTATTGTATACCAGGATCGAGTCTAATGTTCTCATTATATTTATAAGGGGACAGGATACACAAGCACAACCAGCCCAGAAGAAGAAGGGAAAAAAATAAAATAAAATAAAAGGTAGAAAACAAGGGAAAGAAGGGAAGAAAAATATTTCTTCGAAGCGCCACTAGTGACTTTTCATTAATATGCATTGATAAAAATACAAATTCACCTTGTCGAGACAAAGTCAATACTATCAAAGAAGAGACTAATCTAACGATGATGTAATCTTTATATGTTGTCTAAATTGAATTTTTGTTTTTGAATTATTTTTTAATGTACGAGTTTAAGGTTTTTTAGAATGTTTATTATATGTTTTTAAGTTAAAAATAAATTTTTAAATTAAAAATACCTTTTTAATTAATTTTATGATAATTTTTAGAGATACTAAAATATAGGTAAGGTGACAAAGTATCATCCTTCTGGTTTTGAAAAAAAAAGTAGAAGGTATAGAAATATGGCTAAGCAATCACACCCACGCAAATAGATTTATTTTTAAAGAACCAAGCGTTAGGTCTTTCAAGCTATTGTGTCTTGCTTCTTTTTTTTCTCTCTCAAGAAGATAGATGTAATTTTTAAGAATTAAAAAATTTAAAATATAGTTGATATATTATTTTATTAAATTCTTATATATTTATATATTATTTTATTTAATACTATTGAATTTTAACTCTGTGTTCTTTTAATTAAGATCATATATTTTTTAAAAAAAAAACTAAAAACATTTTTTATACAACATATCATAATCATCCTTTTCATTTGGTTTCATTGTTGAGAGTGTTAATTTTTGTTATTGAAATACAAAAATAAATTTAAATTATTTTGTTGAAAGCCGTTGGATCTATAATTTATATTACAAATTTAGTAAATTAATTTAAATTGATTTGAATTAAGATATTATCATTTTAATATATAATATCTTTTTAATTAAATTGAGTTTTAATGAATTAGCCGGCTTGTTTTTGAATGGAATATTTTTAATTATGTTTTTCTTTTGATTTCATGACAGTTTTTTTGTGTTAAAATTCTTGTTAGCATTTATTTATGTATATAATCCATAAAAGTATTTTATTAAATCGTATGCATTAGATTTTGAGCTTATAATTAAAAAAATTGTCAATTTTATGTTTTAAAAATTTTAATCCAACAACTCGTAGCGTCACAGAAGCTACTAATATAGTATATACAAAGCTGACGCTTTGTTATACTCATTGCGGATGTCTTTGGGGCGAAATTATTGAAACTTCTTGAAATAGGACTTGTCCGGCCGTGATAGATGGATCTTATGGTTTATTGAAAAACGGTAGCCAATTTTACCGAAGTTACGTGGAGTCAATATCTTTGGTATAAGAAGTCTCCTCGTACAGTTATATGGGTAGCAAACAGAGAAGTTCCACTTTCCAATACTTTGGGGGTTCTGAATATAAGCAGCAAAGGGACACTTGTCCTGTACAGTAGCACAAATGATATTGTTTGGTCATCGAATTCATCACGAACTGCAGAGGATTCAGTTGCAGAGCTCTTGGAGACAGGTGATCTTGTTGTGACAGAAGGGAAATAGTATTCCCGACAACTTTCTGTGGCAGAGTTTTGACCATCCAGGTGATACCTTGATATTAGGAATGAAATTGGGGAGCAACTTCGTAACAAAGATTGACAAGTTTTTATCATCTTGGAAGAGTGCTGAAGATCCTGCTCGAGGTGAATATTCTTTCGTTATAGATACTCATGGGTATCCCCAGCTACTTCTGAAGAGGGGAAACATTACTCTGTTTAGAGCGGGACCATGGAATGGCATAAAACTCATAGCAAATCCTAGACCGATACCTATTTCCAATGAATTTGTTTTCAACAGCAAAGAGGTTTATTTCCAGTTTGGAACCCAAACATCAGTCCTTTGAAGGCTCACACTCAGTCCATTGGGCCTTCCACAGAGCTTCACATGGAATGACCGAACAAATGATCGGGTGATTGCTGACGTTGGCCAGTTTGATCAGTGTGAAAATTATGCCTTTTGTGGTCCAAATACTCGCTGTGAGATGAGTAGATCTCCTATATGTGCATGCTTGGATGGATTCATTCCCAAGTCTCCAGCAGATTGGAACTTTTCAGATTGGTCAGATGGGTGTATCCGGAGAACTCTGCTAGAATGCAGCGAAAAGGTTGGCTTTCTGAAATATACAGGGATGAAATTGCCGGACACATCGTCTTCCTGGTACGACAAGAGCATCAGTCTCAAGGAATGTCAGGGATTATGTTTGAAGAACTGCTCCTGCACTGCTTATGCAAATTTAGATATCAGGCGTGGTGGAAGTGGATGCCTGATCTGGTTTGGTGACCTGATTGATACAAGGTCAGCTGGGGATGGACAAGACCTTTTTGTTAGGATGAATGCTTCAGAATTGGGTACGTATTCCAAAATGCAAATATAATGAAGTTAGCTATGATTTATGTGTTGGAAAGTCTTAGATGCCTTTCAATTGTATTTTAACATTTTCACTCGACACATTTCAGCATGGACGACAACACGACAACAATGAATCTATTTTCTTGTACTTTAAAAAACAAAAAACTTTAGGCTAAGGTTGCGGATAGATTGTCTTTATATTGTGGCATTTTTATATATTTAAATTAATCAAGAGCAGGAAGAGTATTTGTTTTTTAAATTGTATAGTAAATTATCATAAATACCATTAAAATCAATACATTATTAGGTGTTATTGAAGAGTAGATTATATTTTTATTTATAAAATATACAATAAAATAACCAATTTAACCTTATATATATAAATGCTTTGACAGGCTAAGAGGAGTGTTTTATTCTTATCTTTTTTTATTTGAATAGTCAAAATACCTCCTTGCCCTAAGATTTATTTTTTAAGTTTTGGATTTGAGGGTTTTTTTTTTGTTATTGTACTATTAGTTTTATTAGTTTTTTTGTTATATTGAATAAAATAAGGGTTGGTTTTGTCTTTCAATAAATTAAAAAGGCTTAAAAAAATTGTTAATGCATACTAAAACGCGTTCGTTCCGTAATCCAGTAAGGAAAATAGGCAGAGGCAGAAGACCATATCATTAATTGATGATTGCAGACGACAGCACATTTTCTTGGTTCTCCGGCAGCTCTCTAACTGCCCAGAAGTTAATAACCCACGGTGTAATTCATTAAATGCATCACCACCTTCAGGTAAACAATAAAATTTGCATGCGATGGGCTAAATGCAAACTGAATTTAAAGGATACAGATCGACATGGATCCGATCTAGCTTTTTAGTTGTTATGTTTGACATAGGAATTTACGTAGCCTGAACTAATTCAGATTAGGAATAAATAAATAAATAAAAACGTAAGTCATGAAAAGGGTCCAAGAAATCCTAATCATACTGTTTATTCTTAATAAAAGTAGTCTGCCATCATTTGCTTGAAACAAAGAGGCTTATAATGGTTTAAATAGGGCCCTCACTAACCTATACTGAAAAGAGAAAAATAAGAAACCTAAGCAGATAGAAAAATAAAGGCAAAATCCATAATCAACTAGGAAAAATAATAGAATTAAAAAACAATAATTTAATTTAGGAACTTCACAGTGAATATATCCATCGTAGAACATATTCAATAAAACAGTAAAACCTCCTTATAAAATTTAAATACAATTCAAAAGTTAAATAAAAAACTATATCTATTTTCATTAAAGTGATCATTTGGTGCTTACAAACCTTTTTTTTTTTCTGCTTGAACTTATTTATATGGTTCATAAAAAGGTGTACCGGGCATTCCATATTATCAAATTACAATTAATATATGTTTGTTTGCTTTGTTTTTTGGAAAGTAATTTTTATAAAAAATATTTTTTTAAAAATTAGATTATTTTTTGATCTTTAACAGTGTTATAAAAATGACTTGGAAAACACATTTTAGTATTTGATTATACCATGAAAAATGAGTTGGAAAATATTTTCTAGTGTTTTGTTATGTCATGAAAAATAAACTGAAAAATAACTTATTAATTTTCTTTTCAAGTTTATTAAAAGAATGGATATCAAATTTAATATATGAAAAAGTTGAAGGAGGTAGAAAATGAAACAAAACAATCTAATTTCATAAATTATTTCAAATAAAACAAATAACAATCAAAATAATGGAGACCAAATTTGATAAATGAAAAAAATTCCAATGAAAAAACATAAGAAAAAAAACAAATAATAATAAAAAAAATAAAGATCAAAGTGGATATAAAAATCAAATTAAATTCTAAGAAATAAAATAAAAAAATAAAATATAGAAATAAAAAGATTAAGAACTAAATTTTATATAATCAATAAATAATATGATATTTTTTAATATAATTATTATTATTTATGGACAATGATTTTTAAATTGCTAAGATTTTCTTCTTTTTCTTTTTTTTTTTTTATAGAAAGCTTTATGGGTTAGTTTTCAACTTTTCTAGGAGTCTTTTGTGCTCACTATGGCTACTTAAAAATGTATTCAAGTTTACAAAGTAATAAGGTATAATTTATGATGCATTAAGTACAAAACAAGTTTTAGTTTATAATTTTTTAAAAATGAATTTTTATGAATTAAATAATACTTTTATCTTCTTTATGGTAAATCCTTCTTTTCAAATTATAGTCTAGTATTCATAGTTATCTCAATCGGAAACAATTAACTAATTATGAAGAAGATAATTAATCTTTTACAGTGTAACTAATAAATCTATTTAACAGCTTCTAATTATTTAATCTTTGCAAAGTGAATAGTACCTTTTAAATTAAAAATACGTACTTTAAATCATAATTGTATTTCAATATTAATAACTAGCACAACCACCAAATAATTAATTAAGTTAATGAGATATAAAATAAATTATTATGATATAATAAAAAAGTATTTAATGATTCATAACTTAAGAACATAATAAATATAATGATTTCAGATAATTATAAAAAAAATTATTTTTTTTATTTTACTATTGGTTTAGAATTATTATCGACGGGGTACTAGCATATTTCAAAAACATTTTTAAATTTTTTTTTTTAGATTTCAAATTAATGTATTTTTAGTATTTTAAATTATTTTGATGTAATTTGAAATTAATTTATTTTTAGTATTTTAAATTATTTTGATGTATTGATATTAAAAATAATTTTTTAAAAATAAAAAAATATCATTAATATATATTTTAATATAAAAAATCATTTAAAAAATAATAATAACTATACTTCTAAACAATCTCTGTGATTGTGGTTGTGGTTAAAAGCAAAAGTCCGTTTAGAGTGTTGCTTTGTGTGTTTGGTGTTGTGCTAGTTATAGTGGTTGTGATTTGAAAAAAATTATTTTAATTGAATTTTTTATTATGTTATCAGATAATCTTTTTTTAATTTTTTGAATAAAACATAATTCTAAATAAAAATAAAAATAAAAATTGAATAAAAATAAAAATCAGTAGAGAGAAAGAGGACATACCAGAATAAAAAAAAAGTAATAGAATGGAAAAAATTAGTAAAAAAAGAAAACTAAAGAAAAACAAGAGGCATTGTTCAAAATGCACTATTTTCATTTGCTTCATCTCCAGCACGGGTAAACTTCTTTTTTTTTCCAGTCATAACAATTGACATTGTATATATAAGTGAACAGTCTTTTTATAAAAATAAACAACTTATTATGTATGGAGGCAGAAAAAAGTAGCATAAAACTGCTATTTACTAACCTGCATTCAAAACACAGAACATGATGGATCTCTCGTAAAATAATTCACGGCTCAGTTACCAAACATTTATTTTCTGTGGCGGGTAAACTTCTTTTTTTTTCCAGTCATAACAATTGACATTGTATATATAAGTGAACAGTCTTTTTATAAAAATGAACAACTTATTATGTATGGAGGCAGAAAGAAGTAGCATAAAACTGCTATTTACTAACCTGCACTCAAAACACAGAACATGATGGATCTCTCATAAAATAATTCACGTTTCCTCAGTTACCAAACATTTATTTTCTGTGGTCTGCTTCAAAAGCAGAAGCAACCACAGAAACAAACACCTACTAAGTGCTTAGCGCTGCGGTTTTGGCTATGGTTGGAAGGAAAAGTCGGTTTAGAGTGTTTGATTAATATTAACCGTAATTTTATTTCACGTGGATCCCACTCGAAAACCGAGATTTGTGAAAAGCAAATTACAATTGCTTTTCTCGTGGCCGTGTTCTCCTCTCTCTTACCGACACTGCGCATAATTAATTAAACACTGCAAAACTTTCATCTTCTCCTCTGTTCCTAAGTCACTGCCATTGATCTGGACTCCCATTTCCCAAATTTTTCCTTACTCATTCTTTCACACTTGACTTGTTGCTCTCTTTGTTCCCTATCTCAAGCTTGTCTTTGCCTTGTTTCTATCAAAGCTCTCTTGAGCTGGGTTTCAATGGTTATTCAATCTTTAGTAGCTGCAACCTGTGACCAAAGTGAAGGGTTTTCGACGTCTTTGTGTCAATGGGGTCGTGCTTCAGTGCAAGAATTAAAGTTGAGAGTCCTCCTCGAAACGGTATGTTCACAAATTCACACACATCTTGTTCTTGATGGATATTTGTTCTCACTGTTTGCCAGAGGTAGTAATTTTTGTTCATTCCTTTTTTGATCTTTCGTTGAAAAGGAATCTTTAGTTTTTTGCTCCAGCCTTTTCCTTTTAGAAAGTAGCATTATTTTGGATTCTTGATGTTTTCCTTCTTAGGACATGGACCTCTGTTTGAATTTTGATTGATAGTAGAATTTTGTTCATTCTAATCTTGATTAGTCTCTTACGGCATTTTGCAAATGAGGTGAAAACCGAGTTTTTTTAAATTTTGATTTTTTTATTTAAAATAAATATTTTTTATATTTTCAATTAAGGTGTGTTAATATAAAAAATAATTTTTAAAAAATATAAAAATTTTATTTTAATATATTTTTAAACTAAAAATACTTTAACCTAAAACCATTACCAAATCTCATTCTAAGTAAATATGTCATCCTTTGGAGCTTTATCATCTCTATTCATTCCTTATATAATTAATTTGTCAAACTCCAAGACAAGCATATAATTGGACAATATGGCAATCCATGCCTAATGACCAAACATACAGAGGATAACTCCCGTTGTTCCAAATTTTCGTACACATCTTATAGAAAATAATCAAGGTGGAAATATTAAAGCCTATCAGACCACATGGATCGAACCTGAACACTTTTAAATCACACTAGGGTGGACCATGCTACGCCTTAGACTAATATTTTTTTATTAAAAAATAATATTTAGGTAAAATACCATAGGCTCATGAAAAGCAGCCTAGGCAAGCTACGTGTCTGGGCCAATTTCCTCTTCTTTTTTTTTTGGTTGCTTTATGTAAGGTCATTCTTCCCTTTTCTTTTTTTCTTTTTTTGAAAAATAACTCTCGATCTCAG